ACTTTTGACCAGTTAGTTCTTTGCCCCCTTTATTGTACTGTAGACCAAAATCACAGTTCAAAATTTTTAAATTTAGTTTTAAAAACCTAGAGAAAAATATAGCTCTGTTATTTTGCAACCACAACATTAAAAAAATTATTTAAAGTTAAAAACCTTCAAAAAATGATCGTAATCTTTCGCAAACTGTAGCTGTTTTTCGGAGAACATTCGAAAAAGTTGGCTAGTTTGATGCATAACGTCATCAATCGCTGCATTCTGAGAATCGCGTGCCCATCGTTCCAACAGATCTGCGCCGCGAAGTTGAGATTCAGCAATTTTTGTTGCTAATTTGCTAAGAAAGAAAAAAAATAAAGGGTAGATAGATGTATGACATTAATCGATGCAAAACTTATTGTGCCATTTTTCATTTGTAATTTTCCAAAAAGCGAATAAATTTTCAATTTAGTGTAAAATAAGTATGTAAAATCTCTAAACCTTGTTGCTCCAAGATCCTGAAGACCTGACTGCAGTGAACTTGTTGATGTTCTTTCAGAATTGCTACCAAAAATTTGCGACAGTTTGCTAGCCGATGTCGTTCGCCTACCTAAAAAAATTTTCTAGAAACAAAAATGAAAAATAATAATTGTACGTCAAGTGAGAAATAAAAATGATTTTCTCTTTATTGTTTAAAACATCAAATAAAATCCATTTTTTGCGAAAATCTTGCTTTTGTCTGCTTAAACGTCAAAAAGAAAACTAGATGACTTTCTGATACTACCAATATGAATACCAAAAAAGTTTAGCTGCACAATTTTTTTTCATCTTTTGTAAGATATCTCCGAACAGCCTTTCATAAACTTTTTATCTGCAAACGTCAACAGACAGAGAGGAAAATGCTTAAAACTTCTGTAAACTTAATGACTGTAGTAGAACTAATGATAATAATATTAACCATAGAAAACTGCTGTTAAATGTTGTGATACAGTATAGTTAAATGAGATGGGAAAGGGAAACAAAAGCTTACGATTTTGCATCTCATTCCTATTAGGCGAAGTGGCTGTTATTGGTGGTGAGCAGTACCTAAAACATTTCCACCTATAAGGTCGTATAAATGACAAAACATTTTAGTAAATCTATTACTGCAAAATACAAAAATATGAAAAATTTGGCAAATAGCGGTAAATTTTCTATTCGCTTGTCTCTGCTTACAAACTTTTGCTTTAAAAGAGCAAACTGTTATCAGAACTCTGAGACATTTACATAACAAACCACTGATTTCCTATTAATAAACACGTGAAACAAAATCAAAAAAAATTCTTTGTTATT